CCAAATGCTCAATGCTCAATAATATAAATAATATAAATTATAATATTCGGGGAACTTTTTATACAAAGCCACCATGGGCCTTTCCTATGTTCTCCAATTTCATTTTAAACTATTGTAATAACTGACCATTCCTTGTATGTATTTATACTTGTATGTTTATTTGCATTTGCTGTGTTTTTTATGGAAATGAAATAAATAAACGAACTTGAACTTGAACAAACACCATTTTGAAATGGATTGCCATTTACACTCCTAGAAAAACCTATAACAAACTGTTGGTATTTGCTCATTCCAATATTAGGTGAGTAGTGCGCATGTGTGACTTGTCGCTACTGTGCGTGCGATGGTACGGAAGCAAGGCGATTCACGTGATGAAAAACTGGAATCGTACCAAAGTTTTGAGAGAGGGCATTTACACTGCAAAAATCTGTGAAATTTGGGCAGGCATTAAAAAAACGCACTCCAGAGGTGGATTTTTTTATTTCGGTTTTTCGTTGTGATTGCCACCGGAACGTGAGAAAATTGATGGTTTTCGGTTGCATTGTAAATGCAACTAGGTGCAATGTAAATGCAACTGAGTGCATCTTTACTGACCATGATTTGAGCAATGGAATGTGGTGGTATTTAGATGTTTTGATTTCCTAAATATACTTCAATGCATAAGCAAAAAGGGGTGATTTAGCATATTTTGAGTTGAAAAACAAGGGTTGGAAGTAATAAACGAATCTGTGTTGTATTAGTGCATGTTCTGAGAATTAGCTGTGAATATCAGAATGACTTCAGCTACACAAATGATATGAACATATTCAATTATTTTAAGATGATGCAAGAGAATGGGAAGTATGCATAGGCACGTGATTAACATTACTGTAGAGCAAGCAATTGACACAATGGGCTTATAGCCAGTCGTGTTCCTTTTGCATCAAGGCATAACAATAAACTCCAAAGTAGCCCCACAACTCCCATTTAATATCTTAACAATTAAGCACGGTATTTTGAGCAGTCCTGTATATTTATTTGATGTTGAATGAACACGAATACACAACAAGGGGTCATATATGCACATGACATTTAGAAGCTCAGTTGGACAAGTGTTTATTAAAACACAGCAGATTTAGGGGTAGTATTGATCGAAGATGAGGGAGTCTCTTTTGAGGGGGGGGGGGGGGGTCTATACATTTCTGGGAGTATTGTAACCTCTCTTTTTATAATATCCTGAACTGCCCTTGGGTAATATAGCTATTTAAAAAAAGCGGGCATGCTTAAATTCATTGTGTACAGTAATTGCTTCTTATAGCTGGGGTGTAATTTCATACTCCAGGATATCGTTGGATCAGTATAGTTTGTCCTACTTGCCCATTTTCAGTCTTCCTGAGTGACAAAGTTCAATAACAAAATGTAGAGAAAGATTGAAAGTAAGAATGGTTAAAAAAAGTAGTACTTTTACACTATTTCTCTCTCTCTCTCTCATTCTCTTCCCCCTCTCTCTCTCTCTTTCATTATCTTTCTCCAGAAACTACCACTTTCATTATCTAGCTCACACACTCATTCTTTCTAACCTTCTCTCCTCTTGTCTTAGTTTCTCTCACACACACACCTCTCTCTTTCTCTTTCCTCTCCCTCTCTCTCTCTCTCTCTCACCTCTCATTCTCTTCCCTCTCTCTCTCTCTCTCTCTCTCTCTCTCTCTCTCACCTCTCATTCTCTTCCCCCTCTCTCTTTCTCTTTCCTCTCCCTCTATCTCTCTCACCTCTCATTCTCTTCCCCTCTCTCTCTCTCTCTCTCTCACCTCTCATTCTCTTCCCCCCTCTCTCTTTCTCTTTCCTCTCCCTCTATCTCTCTCACCTCTCATTCTCTTCCCCCTCTCTCTCTCTCTCTCTCTCTCTCTCACACACACCTCTTTCTTTTTCCTCTCTCTCTCTTTCATATCTCTTTACAACCACAATTAAATATTGTTCATGATTTTTTTGATGATTTATATCCTGTTATTACCACATGTAGAAAAAATAAATTAAAAGTCATTGACTTTTGGGTTAAGTAGTACAAGGTCAATTACACTTTACAGAGAAAAAGAACAAATAAATGACCCTGCATGGTAGGAACTTAACTATAGCTGTACATCGATTGAGGCCATATAAGACGGATTCACCAATTCACTTTTAATAGAAAAAATAGGGATACAGAGACTGTACACAGTATGTACCAGTAAGTTTTCATATGAAGGTGAATATTATCTTGCAATCAGGGCCAAGGCAAGACAATCAATAAGGATGTCAGGTGGTGGTACCGGCATGGGCAACGTCACACATGAGAGAGAGAGAGAGAGAGAGAGAGAGAGAGAGAGATGGAGGAGGCATAGAGAGATGGAGGAGGCATCGACAGAAAAACAAGAAAACCAAAAAAGAATTAAGGATGACAGCTACGACCTAGGGTGCGTTCAATCGAATTTTCGAAGCTAGAATCACAAACATGAATCACAAATCAAAACGCCGTTACAAAAAACAAGGTCACTGCGGTTAGCGTTCAAGCGATTTTTCATCAACGCTGATTCTAGCTCATTTCGAGCCCAGCCACTGCGGATCACACTCGCAGTTTGACCCAGGAAGTATAGGTCAACTTCTGCGCGCGCTTTTTGGAATTGTTTACGGCCAACTGTCGACTGCTGTTTTGAGCATAGATCGCAATAATAAAACAAAGAATGAGAAGGTGATGGAAGGAAGAAACAAAAAATAACATAAGGAAAGACAGAAAGAGAAAGTGATAGAATGATTGAAACAAAGAATAACATAAGAGAAAGTGATAGAATTATAAAAACAAAGATAACATAAGAGAAGGTGATAGAAGGAAGAGAACAAAGATTAACATAAGGAAAGACAGAAAGAGAAAGTGATAGAATGCTTAAAACAAAGAATTACATTAAAAAAGCTGATAGAAGGAAAAAAAAACAAAGATTAACATAAGAATAGAAGGAAGAAACAAAGAATAACATAATGAAAGACAGAAAGAGAAAGTGATAGAATGGTTAAAACAAAGAATAACATAAGAAACTGTGATAGAAGGAAAAGAACAAAGATTAACATAAGAATAGAAGGAAGAAACAAAGGATAACATAAGGAAAGACAGAAAGAGAAAGTGATAGAATTATAAAAATAAAGAATAACATAAGAGAAGGTGATAGAAGGAAAAAAACAAAGAATAACATAAGAATAGAAGGAAGAAACAAAGAATAACATAAGGAAAGACAGAAAGAGAAAGTGATAGAATGCTTAAAACAAAGAATTACATTAAAAAAGCTGATAGAAGGAAAAAAACAAAGATTAACATAAGAATAGAAGGAAGAAACAAAGAATAACAAAAGAGAAAGTGATAGAATTATAAAAACAAAGAATAACATATAAGAGAAGGTGATAGAAGGAAGAAACAAAGAATAACATAAGGAAAGACAGAAAGAGAAAGTGATAGAATGATTAAAACAAAGAATAACACAAGAGACTGTGAGTGAAGGTAAAAAAACAAAGAATAACATAAGAGAAGGTGATAGAAGGAAGAAACAAAGAATAACATTAGGAAAGACAGAAAGAGAAAGTGATAGAATGATTAAAACAAAGAATAACATAAGAAACTGTGATAGAAGGAAAAGAACAAAGATTAACATAAGAATAGAAGGAAGAAACAAAGAATGACATAAGGAAAGACAGAAAGAGAAAGTGATAGAATTATAAAAATAAAGAATAACATAAGAGAAGGTGATAAAAGGAAAAAAAACAAAGAATAACATAAGAATAGAAGGAAGAAACAAAGAATAACATAAGGAAAGACAGAAAGAGAAAAAGAGGAAAACAAGGTATAACATAACGGAACAGGCCATGATAAAGAGCATGGTATAGTAAACGCAAATTGCATGAAAAGCAGGCGCGCGGTTTTTGCCCAAACCGGAACAGGCTCCGTCATACAATCATGATTGAGAACTCCGTCCGTTCAATCAAATTTTAGCGACCGTGATTCTGCAGAATCATGATACAAAACGCATCTTTTTCAGCGTTTCATGTTTGTGTTTTTAAACACGTTTATTTTTACGACCGACGAAAAAATCGCTTGAACGCATTGCGTTTTAAACTAAACGTCTTTAGAAACCGTGATTCTAGGGTGAAAAAGTGTCGATTAAACGCACCCTTAGTATGCCACACAACATAGACAGAGAAAAGGGGAAGGAAAGAAAAGACACATAGAAGGAATCTATAGGACAAGGATGTCAAATCTTGCATGCATGGTAGGTAGGTAGAGAGAAAGAGAGAGAGAGAGAGAGAGAGAGAGAGAGAGAGAGAGAGACAGAGAGAGAGAGAGATACAGAGACAGAAAGACAAACAAACAGAGAGACACAGACATATAGAAAAATAAATTGAAAGAAATTAGGATGTCAGGGGCTGGCCGGGGTATCTGTTTGCTCTGCGATGTGTTTGATCTGCAGTATCAACGTGAATGAAAATAGGAAGTTTATCTTCCTGCATGAATCAGATAAGCTTCAAGTAAATGGCTCATCACAAGGAGGAAGAGAGAGAGAAAGAGAGAGAGAGAGAGAGGTTTTGATGAAGATATGTTCTGTTTGTGTAGAAGATGTATAGAATAGGAGAAAATAGGTGCTGAAATCTCATCAGCATAAATCTGCGAAATGTGTGAATACCCTTCATTTTCTGAATAGACCAATTCTATCATCATCAAATTGTTCTCAAATCTTTAGGAGAGTGACAGAGAAGAAAGGAAGAGAGAGGAAGAGGAATAAGAGGAAAAGCGAGGAGTGAGAAGATAAGAGACAGAGAGAGAGAGAGGGAGAAACAGCAGAAAGTCAGAAAGAAAAAACAAATCTAAAGAGAGAAGTGGTCAGGTATCTATATGGAGAGAGCGAGAGAGAGAGAGCAAGAAAGAGAGAGTAAGAGAAAGAGAGAGAGAGAGAGTGAAAGAAAGAGAGAGGGAGAGAGAGAGAGGGGGGGGGGTGAGAGAGAGAGGAAAGAGATCAAGTTGCATTATCACATTTGATGGTAGGTGGCGGTGTGACTTACCAAGCTTGTTTAATAGCAGAAGTAAAAGGAAGAGCGAAACACACCACACGGATGTCAAAACTTTATCACTTCTAGTCTGCAGTTCTATCGCTTCGGTGGAATTACTGCTTGGCACTGTGTGATAAAGACGCAATCCGGAAAGCAGAGTGGTACATGTTTTCTGAGAATCCCTCAACACGTTTGTGATGCAGATTCTGTTAAATTGAGACCACTTTCTCTCCATGGATGTGATAAACAATTGTCTCTGAGGACTTGAATACACAACACAAGTCAGCCATAGAGAGGTCATTCGTAAATAAATGAGATTTTAATGCAGTGATTGTTCATGTCATCACAACGAACAAGTGATAATTGGAGCATACCTGTACATGTATTTGTGTCTGCTGTAACCCAAATTTTTTGGATGATCATCTCATTAGCAGTTTCACAGGTAAGGCATCTTTGGTTTCACATTGATTAACCTTTCGTTTACAATAATCTGAAAAAGGGCTGCATTAGTTATGTTATCTTTTTCAATATTTTGATATCCTAGTTTCTGTTTAAGTGTTTGGTTTTAATTGGCTTTCTGTTCATTTCGGTAAAAGATAGTACTGCATTGGTTACTTTCCATAGTATCTCTTTTCAATAGTTTGATATCCTAGTTACTGTTTAAGTGTATGGTTTTAATAGGCTTTCTGTTCATTTTAGTAAAGGATAGTACTGCAGTAGTTACTTTCCATGGTATCTCTTTTCAATACTTTGATATCCTAGTTACTGTTTAAGTGTCTAGTTTCGGCTTTCTGTTAATATTTACCATTTACTCTGCAGTGAGAAAAGCTAATTAAAAAAAAGCTAGTTAAAAAAAAAACTCCACACAACAACAACAGCGGCAGCCCAACGTATAAAAATCATAACATGCTCTACCCAATTTACCTACCTCTGCAACTTATGAAGAAACACTTGACAAATTATTGCTCTGTTTAGTAAGGAATAGACAATCTTGATTGTCAGTTGGTTTAAAATGCCTTAATCTGAAAGCTATTAAACACAGAGCAACTGTTCTCGTTACTACTCTACATAATTTTGAATGTATTTAAAACATTTTGGAATTCATCACGACTGCTGAAGAACATTCCAGATTATTCAGAGCTCATTCAACTTTCCATGCTCAACAATTTCTAAAGGGGGTGAGCAAAAGCAACCAATCAGAATTACAACACTTCTCTACATGTATAGAGCTGGTGGTTGTGTCTTGTAGCAATTTATGGCATTGAGTATACTTTCTTATCAAATACGGTTGAAAACTAAATTATTCATACCCCTTGTAAATTTGATGGTTTTTGTAGCTTAACAAATGAAAGGTGGACTGGTTGAGTTAGGGCCTTTGTTGAATACATTTAGATGCAATCTTTGACATGAAACATTCTCAAGAAACATAAATTTGGGACAAATCAGTTTTTGTTGATACTTAAAATGTTACAACATGTGGAAAGGGTATGAATAATTTACTTGTTAACTGTATGTTAGGCATCATGTGATAACAATACAAAATTACTTTCTCCCTGTCCAAATATTGGATTTGTATTTTTCAAAATGACGAATTACATCGTAGAAAGAGAAAAACAAAAAGGAGGAAGAATGTGAGGAAAAAAAAACAGAGAGATAGAGAGAGAGTGAGAGAGCAAAAATTAGCATGGCTGAGATAGAAAGAGTAAAATTGAGAAATAAAATGCTAGTTAGATAAAAAAGAGAAAGGAAAAGTGAAAATCAAATCAGACAGTGGGCAGAAAAGAGGGGGATATGGTATCAAAGCATAATTTGCAAAATTTAAATAGTTATATAAATTGTAACCAAAATCTGGGGGAAGAAAAAGGAAGTCCGTGTTCCCACACGGGCCTATTTGTCTTCTCCAGTACAGTATCCTTTTTAACAGACTATCATCCGTTTACCAGGAAGTGGTGACTTTGATTTCAGGAAAAATAGCCTACGTCACTGTGCCCTAAACCAGTTTCCATTATTTTAAAGATTTTACCTACTTCACCTTTTAACCCATTGCTTACCGGAAACCAAGTGGTTCCTGTATTTAGCTTATGAAAAGATAAGAATTTTGTATTCAACAGGTTAATGACAATATAATCATGACTTTTTTAAGGGAAGGATCTGCTTGAATTTCAGCCAAAAAGGGCTGCGTCATTTTGAATTACCGGTATATTTTCACATGGACTTCCTATACTTTAATTTTACTTAAATTTATGATTTTAGAATAATATAATATAATATTTTTGCATACATAATGAGCCCTGTGACCTTTGACCTATGACCTTGTGACCTCAAAATCTAATCAATTAATTGGCTCTGCAAGATACATACATGACCTTGGTTTGGCAGGAATGCATCAATCAGTTCTTGTGATAACGTGATCACTAGCTATTTTTGCATACATAATGAGCCTGTGACCTTTGACCTTTGACCTCATAACCCCAAAATCTAATCAATTCATTGGCTCTGCAAGATACACATGACCTAATTAGGGCAGGAATACATCAATCAGTTCTTGAGATAACGCAATCACAAGCTATTTTTGCATACATAATGAGCCCTGTGACCTTAGACCTTTGACCTCGTGACCCCAAAATCTAATCAATTCATTGGCTCTGCAAGTTACATACATGACCAAAGTTTGGCAGGAATCCATTCGTCGGTTCTTGAGATAACGCGATCACGAGAACGGGACGTACGGACGGACAACCCGAAAACATAATTCCTTCGGCTATACTTCGTAACGGTGGCATAAAAAACACCATTAATTAATCCTAGGAGATTGTACAACCTATCCATGGCACTGAAAGGATATTAGTTTTTCCTCATCTTTTAGGACAGTATACATGCATACTCTCTCCTTTTATCAGGCCCTTCTGAAATCCAGGAAGTTCAACTGCATGTAGCTGGCAGAGGGAGGAAAACAACACGTTATTGAGGGCAATTAAGTCGAGTGTTAATGGTGCTGTTACCTTGATCATTTCCTGGGTAACTGTACAAATGAATTCCATAGTTATTAAAAACCATATCAAAGATACTGCTTGAATTATTTGGAGCTTTTTGTGCATTACAGTCATATGACTGATATCCTTTATGAGTTAACTCTGTTATCAACTCTGTATGACAGTAAAAAAGAGTAAACTTTTGTATTGCTCCAAAGAGATGCTAGTTTGTATGTTTCAATGAGAAACATAAATGAACCAAACTCAATGTGCAGGGGTACTTGAATGTTCTCCCACATGCTATATCCTATTGCATTTTGGGTTTAATACTTTCCAAACTTACAGTAGCGTCATCTATAAATTCATCCCCCCCCCCCCCAGGGGCTCTCAGAAAGTAGATTAGCATACATATTGTTAACAGAAATCTGGAGAGGTCATTTGATCCCTGGATTCAGAGGTGTCACAACTATCCTGGTCTATTTTTCTTCTGGGAAGTAGGATTCAATATCAGCAATACTTCAGGAAATAACAGTTTGGGGTATTCATTTTCAGCAAAAATGACTTTCCTGGTGCTCCTTTTACAGCATATATGAGTCCAGACTACAGTGCTGATTTCACACAATCAGGGATTTGTCATCGATTACAGGTATCTTCTTTGAATGTTGGTGAATGGTTGGTCACTTTCTATTACATCTGTCTCACAAAATAGATCATTGTCAAGTAGAATAATTTGCACATCAAAAGGTAAGATGATAATCATTAGTCTTTACATTTCTTTTGTCTCGTCCTGCAGATAGAGTTGAAAGCTGACTTATTGGAGAACGGGTGTGACTATAGCAATAGCTGCAAACATGGAGACCACACCAGAATTGGACTACAGTCTCCTGATGGACGACCTACCTGAAAATGGAACACAGCGGGTCATTTCGGTATATGAGCTGTATGGATACTTCAACGTCGTTATCGTGTCAACCATATTTTGCGTGATTGCTTTTCTGGGACTTACCGGAAATACCATGGTTTTCATCGCTGTTGGTTTATCGCGTAAACTCCACAACATCACCAACGCGTTCATTGTTAACCTGAGCATCTGTGACTTTCTGTCCTGTACCATCCTGCCCTTTCATGCGGTTGCCGTGATCGCGGAGGACGGGTGGCCCCTTGCAGACTGGTTCTGTTCCTTCATCGCGTCCCTGTCCATCATCACTCAAACCAGTGGCATCTTGAACCTGACCATGATCAGCCTTAACAGGTACGTCTTGATCACCAAGCCTCGGAAGCTCTACATGAGGGTGTACACCCACAAGAAGGTAGCCTGGATGATCGCCTTCACGTGGCTCTTCCCTTTTCTCTTCCTGCTTGTGCCACAGTTCTTTCTGAGTGGGTTGGGTTACCAGGACTTCTTCAGGATCTGCATCTGGAACTCACGCCACAAGCTGGCTCTCGTCTTCCAGGGTATCGGTGCCCTCGCTTTCATCATCTCCACCATCCTCATCATCTTCTCCTACGTCTCCATCTACCGTTTCATCCGAAGGCACATGCGCATGATGGCCAACAAGGAAGGTGGCAACGACCCTGCAGCATCGGTCGAGATCGTCGAGGAGGAAAGCGCCCTCAACGATAACAAAATTGGCACCTCCACCAAATCACATAGATCGACGAAGAAGAAGACCATCAGTAGGAAACAAATTGAAATCACTAAGAACCTTTGTCTGGTGGTCGTGAGTTTCTTCATCTGCGTCTTGCCCTACACAATCCACCTTCCCACAGGGATCTATGACATGAGAGGGACCTACCTAGCCCTCCTATTCATGTCCCACGCTTGCATAAATCCTATTCTTTACGCGGCAAAGCATCCGCATTTCAAGGTCATCTTCAGTTGCATGTTCCGATGCAAGTACTCAGAGATACCCATGCCTACTATGGGAGTGAAGAAATTGTTTCGCCGTGCGACATCAGCATCAACATACAGCAGCACTGACGGTAGATATGCCTGAGTGATGTAGCTGCTGAAACAAACTGCTTGCATCTTGAAGTTTTCTAATTTAGAGTTGTAGAGATTTTATGAACATGACAAGGATCATGGATGTATTAGCTGATCTACTAGCAGCTACATGACATTCCATATAGCCAATATGCGTACAAGAACCAGGTGGTTCCTCTACAAAGTCCAAAGAATTACAAAAGTCAGCAATCAATGCCTTTAAGAATTCATAACCTAAGAGAGTTTGAACAGTTTTACTCATTTTAACACAAAAGCAGCTAGGAACTAAACAAAATGATAAACAGCAGTTAGAGTGCTTCAGATATTTGAGTCAAACACCATTTACTGAACATACTACCTAATATTCATCATTTCTTTGTCAGGAATATTGCTTTGGTTAATTTTCTTTCTCAGGACACCAAATCAGTTACTCTTCTAAAGATCAGAGCTGTCTCTCATTTTCCTTCTTATAATGAGAACATTTTCAGTGTAAATATCAATAAATACAAGTTTTAAGGAAGAAATCAAATAATTAGTTGTTGGTATATGGTCTCCATTAATAATGAAAAGTACCTGCCTTGCGACAAAATACTGTCAGTGTCTTAGCTGTTGAATATGATTGATATTGGTATAATATGTGTCTTTTAAGAGACCCAAGTCTGAGCAATTATTTTCTTTCATAATTTTTTTGGTGAAAATGTCAAAAGGTGCCAAAAAGTGTCAATTGACTGAGTACTATTGTGAATTCACTGGTAATCTTCATATTGATGTCTAAAATGTTTTGGATTGATATTTAATCACAGCCCTCAGTACCTACAAAAGTTTTTTAATTACACCACACCAACAAAAATCTTGAAATGTACTGATAAATAGAATATGGATATTAATTTGTTGCATCATCTGCTAAGAGAGAGATGTTCACTCATATATCCTTCCTTCTCTCAACATACAAAATTGTCTGTATATTGTCAGTACTATTTAAAGAAGGTAGATATCTGTATATGAAATTTTAAGTAGTGAATTAACCAATGGATGTAAAATATGATGAGCTTTGATCCAATATTAATTTGACTTACTAGAAACCATTTCATTTCCATTCTACAATTTCAGAAGGGTGTTAAATCTGTGCTAAATGATGATTCAACAACTTTCTGGATTTGAGAAGATGGTGTATATGTTTAATACATATGATAGATTTGTATACAGGTAGTCTTCTCAAACAAGTTAAAGAATGGGTTTAAGAGTATCTAATTCAGTATAACTATGTGCCAGATGTATGACTGAATATCACTCCACGATCTAGCTCAATAAGACTTGAATACTGAATTATTTACAATAATGGCTAGGATTTTTTGTTGTAATTTATCTAAATTAATAATTTAAGTCTACATCTTTTCTTTTGCAAAAATATGATTCATCAAAGCACTGATTTTTTTCTCCAAAAAAAAATGTACAATTTCTTGTAAAATCAATTCTATAAAAATATTAAAATATAACAATGTCCTTTAGAAATAAATGATATTACTTTATCTGTTATTGTGTTGCAAATGATAATTTATTTTAATAATGACATTTTGAAATTTCTGGTTTCATAAAATTTTACATTTGAAAACTGTATTAGTATTGTGTGCGAACGTTGTTTGGAGGATTCTCTAAAGTTTCTTGTGTGTGGAAGTGTGAGGCATATATATCAGTAATGAAAAAATAGGATGAGAGAGGAATAAAGAGAGAAAGAGAGGATGAGAGAAGAATAAAGAGAGAAAGAGAGGATGAGAGAGAAATAAAAGGAGAAAGGGAGGATGAGAGAGGATTAAAGAGAGAAAGGGAGGATGACAAGAATGGAGAGAGAAAGAGATGAGAGAGGAATACAGAGAGCGAGAGGGAGAGGGGGACAGGTAAGAGAGAGACAGAAATAACTAGATGGAATTTTGACTGCGCGCAGTCGAAAATGATGCCTCCGCTATAGAGCAATTTAAACAAGTTTGGAGTTTAAATCTCCAGTGGTTCTTGAGATATCATGATAACAATCTCAATGTATGGAATTTCATAAGTTGACCTCTGTGACCCTTGACCTTTGACCTACGTGCTCCAAAATCTAATCAGATTGTCTTCCTATGGTGATACACAACTATCATTAAGTTTGAAGTTTAAATCTCCAGTGGTTCTTGAGATATTATGATATGGTGATACATACTATCATTAAGTTTAAAGTGAAAATTCTCCAGTGGTTCTTGAGATATCGCGATAACGATCTCAATGTATGGAATTTCATAAGTTGACCTCTGTGACCCTTGACCTTTGACCTACGTGCTCCAAAATCTAATCAGATTGTCTTCCTATGGTGATACACACTATCATTAAGTTTGAAGTTTAAATCTCCAGTGGTTCTTGAGATATTATGATAACAATCTCAATGTATGGAATTTCATAAGTTGACCTCTGTGACCCTTGACCTTTGACCTACGTGCTCCAAAATCTAATCAGATCGTCTTCCTATGGTGATACATACTATCCTTAAGTTTGAAGTTTTTACATCTCCAGTGGTTCTTGAGATATCATGATAACAATCTCAATATATGGAATTTCATAAGTTGACCTCTGTGACCCTTGACCTTTGACCTACGTGCTCCAAAATGTAATCAGATTGTTTTCCTATAGTGATACACACTATCACTAAGTTTGAAGTTTAAATCTCCAGTGGTTCTTGAGATATCATGATAACAATCTCAATGTATGGAATTTCATAAGTTGACCTCTGTGACCCTTGACCTTTGACCTACGTGCTCCAAAATCTAATCAGATCGTCTTCCTATGGTGATACATACTATCCTTAAGTTTGAAGTTTAAATCTCAAATGGTTCTTGAGATATCGCGCTAACAAACTCAATACAAGGAATTTCATAAGTTGACCTCCGTGACCTGGTACCTTTGACCTACGTACTCCAAAATCTAATCAGATCGTCTTCCTATGGTGATAAATACTATTCCCGAGTCTTAAGTTTAAATCTTAAATGGTTCTTGAGATATTGTGATAACGGTCAAACGGGACGGACGTACGGACGGACAACCCGAAAACATGATGCCTCCGGCACCACCTTCGGTGGCGGAGGCATAAAAATAGAGTATGTGCATGAAAGAAATAATGTAAATGATAAAGAGAGAGAGAGAGAGAGAGAGAAAGAGGGAAAGTATGTGTGTGTCAGTAAATAAATGAAAGAGGGAGGGAGGGAGGGAGAGAGCATACAGAGAAAAATATGAGAGACACCAAAAATAAAATGCAGAACCAAACCAAAGAAGATAGAGACAGCTTTAGCTCTTGTTTACTTGACTTAAAAGCATGTGGTGACACAAAACCTGTAAAAGGATGATATATGGGGCATGATCTAACATAATCTGATTACCTCTCCAAAAAATATTTTACGCTTTACCTCATCCAATAAATAATACAATTTTAGAGCACGATATTAGGATCATGCCAAACATGAAGCTTTATTTGAAATCAGTAATGCACCTCGAACTATGACTTGTGCAAATTTCCTGCTGCCTCCAAATTTCCTGTATGGCAATTACTGCTATCGCTCTACAATGGGATATGCAATTTCTGATTTACATGCAATTCTTTAGCTTTGGGGTGGGATTATGTAGGGCTGATTTTACAGGAAGGGGTTTTTGTTCAAGAATTGTCTATGCATCAAGAAAACTATTCACATCAGATCCTTTATGAAGTCTTACATAATAGTAATAATAATAATAATAATAGCTAATAGTCCACTCCAAATTTTATTAAACCGAAACAGAAATTCTTTTTGCCCAACGGATTGTGAGCCCGGCAGCCACTGGGCAGCACCAGATCGATGTTGCTCTATCCCTTATTGTTGAACGCCAAACAAGATAGCAACAACTCCCATCTTTTAACGTCTTTTGGTATGACGCGGCTGGGGGGTTCGAACCCACGACCTCCCGGTTGTGAGGCGGACACTCTACTGACCAAGCCAACACTAAGAACAAGAGAGTGATTATAAATTGAAATGAGAGACAAGTAAACACCAAGGGCACTTCGTAGATGAGGAGCTTACTTTTCCAGTCTTTCACAAATAGACCTTGATCTCTTTTACAATTGCAAAGCCCTAACGACCCTGCATATAAATATCTAATCATTAAATTATTGACAAAAACTCATCCCTATCCCTTATTCTGTGTTATTACATTTATTTGAATTTTTTTCCTCAAGTATATATCACAGAGTAATTAGCAATGCTGAATATGAAATATTCAGCTACACTAGAGTCAATATCTTTCAAAGATATCCATTTAAATAGATGGACTTTGTATAATGTATGCTTAAAATTTAAATATATAAAAACACTGTTAGGCCCTACTTATATCAATCTTGCTAAAAGTCCCCCCCCCAAAAAAAATATAAAAAATAAAAATAAAAATAAAAAAAATAAATTTAAAAAATACAGACGTGTTGATAGATTTGTCAATACCTGGTAATGTTAAAGTTATGAATCTGTGACTCTTGTTCTTTGAAAATTGTACTTTCACAAAACTAAAAGGATTCACAAAGCTGACATAGCCTTCACTTTGAATTAAATTATCAATAACATCACTGGAAACAACTGGTCATATGTCAATGAGGAAGGGCACGCAGAGCATTTATGAATTATGAGGGTACGTTTTGAGAATGAGAATGAGTTAGGAAAGCAAAGAGTACCTGCAAACTTCAGATTCTGCCCATGCATCAAACTGACATTTGATATGAAAGGTGACAAGGCCTGTGTCAAATCTTTGGAGAAAGATGATGGTAGATTGACTATGTTTTTGTAAAATGGCAGATAGAATATTCCTGTTTGGACCTGAGCCAAATGACAATATGTCAACTAAACAACCATTTAAAGCCCCTCAAAAGTGTTGGGCCGGAGCCCCAAAAATTTGATGGCAAAAATCCACATAAACTGTATCATCATGTGAAAGAGGATGTCATTTATTATCTGCAAGGATTTTCAAAACAAATGTTTTTGAAGTTGAATATTGATGAAAGAATACACAATTAATTAATTCTTTTATCAATATTTGTCTTTTTAGAGGGAAATCTTTGCAGAAGTGTGTCTTAAATGACGTCTTCTATCACATTATGATACAAAACTATTCTGGGGAGAGATATATTTTCAAGAATTTTTATAAAATTGTTCTGTGGAATTAGCTGATTTGATGAAAGATTGGATATTGTTCCAATCTTTGGTGCAATCACTGCAACTTTGCTTCGAGTCTTTGGAATGGTAGGAAGAGCAAAGATTAGGACAAGATGGAATGTGGATGTAAGGCAATCTTTAATATATATACTGGCATTTGTTCATCGAAGACTTTAAAAATAAATGGCAGGATTTTAAAGAAAATTATCTCTTTTATGGGAAGATAATGGAGGGTTTAAAAGCCCCACTGCACTATTTATTGCTACTTGCGCCCTCTATATAGCAAAGTGCAAACAATGCCTAATCGGTGCCTGTTGGTCCCCCAGATCCCCCATGATCCCCTTTTTCTTGTGTTAATTGAGAGCTGATTTGATGAGATAACCACCTGTCAGAGACCTTGCAGGGAAGTCTAACCCACCCTGGACAAACAGACACAAGGCCCATATGAGTCTTCTTAATTTGATTACTACTCACAAATGTTGCAACTCCATTCAACTTATTTAAACCCCTCAAAAACAACACTTTTACCATCTCCTGAGAGTCAGAAGGATGTTAACTCCTATTTTTTAATATCACATTAACACCCTTTTGACTCTCAGTACCCACCAATAATGATTGCCTACACAAACACATCTGGATCAGTTTAGATTTAAAAAAATTATTTCCTGAATTAAAAACAAACAAACCACAATGAAAAAGCAATGCTACATCCTGGTAAACTTCAAACAAGGCACCAATTCTGAATAAATATTTCAGAAGCTTAGTTTCAGTTTTTGTTGAGATATTGT